CGTTCCTCACAGGCCCCCGGTCTCCATCCACTTTCCAGCCTCGAAGAGTCTCTTCCTCTGAGTAACCCGCCGCCTCTGAGCCCTGTTGGGCCCCTGCTGGGCGGCCTGCGCGGAATTGAGAAAACAGGACAGAGGGGCTTCTGCTTTCGGCCCAGCAACCCAACTGTGCCCAAGAGGCAGGAACAACAAAGGCCTGAGCTCTGCTGGAAAGGGGTCAGGGAGGGAGCAAGCGGGCATGGAGAGGAATGGCCGGCATGGGAAGGGTCCCGTCCCCTCCTTTCTGACTGGCTGCTGCGGTGGACTTGTCTGTCTGCACACGTGGTGGATTTCAGAACACACTCGAGGCCATTTGCTCACGCTAACGCACGCTTGAGAGGGGGTGTCCAGGTGGGAAGAGGAAGGGCCAGGCCTGGCCTTGTCCCTTCAGGAGCCTCCCCACCACCCCCTCCCCCAGGTTCTGGCTCTGTGGGTGGCATTCTTGACTTGGGCCATGGAGCCTGGTGGGTGGTGGTGATAGGGAACTGTGTTTGGCAACTGGAACCAGCCAGCAATCACGTCAGCAACCCATACCCCGGTTCCTCACGGTGGTCGCTGCCGTGTGAGGCCCTGCAGTGGTATGGGCCCTGCAGACAGCTTTGAACTTGGTACTGACTAGCCCTCCTCACTCCCTTCCCCTGCAGACCCTGGCCGGGCCTTTCCTTGGCCGGGCAATGAGCTGCCTGCTCCCCCCGTCTGGCCGACTCCCGGCATCTGCCCTACTTCACAGGCCAGCAGCTGGCGGCGGGCCAGGGCCGGCTCACGTCAGAGCCGCCCGCCTGGGGAGCGGAGAGGGCAGATCTCCCGAGAGGCCTGCAGCCTCGTGGGCCGAGGACGGGTGAAACCAGGGCACCTGTGTGCAGAGGGGAGATGGAGGTGTGGGGCCTGTCCCGGGCCTGGGGGGACCCCACACAGAACATATCGGGGCTCTCCCTCCCTTAACTCATGCCTCGCCAGGCTGGCCAGAGGTGCACACTCCCCCAGAGCCTGGTCCCCCTCTGCAGCACCACGAGCACCCCTCTAGGCCCTCCACCCCCACTTCCCAGCCCGGGCCCCGCACTGCTGGTTCAGGCCTCACCCCAACTGCCTCATCCTGTGCAGGGGGGAGTAGGGCTTCCAGATGCTCACCTGCCCACTGCCAGGGGCTCTCAGGAGCTCACAGCTGCAGACCCCCGGCTCGCCTCGGTGCTGCTGCTGCGGCGGCAGGCGTGGGATGGAGCCGAGCAATGGGTGTTTCTTGGTGAAGCACTTGAAGTGTGGGGAGGTTGGGAGCCAGTGTCGTGGGAAGAACCCCAGAGCAGGGTCTGGATTCTCTGTTCGCCTCGGGGGTGAATCACCTGTGTGCCTCTGGGAGGGTCACTCGTGTCTCTGGGCATCTGTTTCCTCATCCGTAAAAGGGCTGAGAATTCTCACCGTGCCTCCCCGGGGCTCAGCTTCCCCGTCAGTGCTGTCAGGAGGCGAGGCATCCTGAGCGCTCACACTGCATTAGAGTTGGGGTCCCAGGTTCTGTCTCTTTACCTTGCCAGGCTCACACCTGGTCTCCAGCAGTGCAGACAAGCGTGTGGATGGTTCCATGCCATCCAGCCCACTCCTAGGAACTCTGCCACGCTGGCCATGGCTCCCAGGGCACCGGGAGGCGGGGCGAGGTCTGCCGTGGGAGGTGGGGCTGCCCCGGGCCCGGGCACCGCACGTGGGCCTCTCCCGCCTGGCCCACACCGAGGCTCTGTTGCAGGTCTCCGTCACCGCGCGGGAAGACGTGCCTGCCTTTGGCCCGCCTCTGCCCAGCCCCCCTGTTTTCCAGAAGGTAAGACACTCTCCTTCCTGCTCCTCTCAGATCCAGACTCCAGGTTCCCAGGCCTGGATGGCAGGGATGGCAGCGGGGCTGGACCTGGGCGGGGACGTTAGCCGGGCCTTTACTCAGCAGGCTTGGGGGCTTTCCTTGGGGTCTTCCCCTCCTCTGCTCCTGCTGCCAGCCTGGCCTCGCAGAAGGTCTGGTTCCAGGGTGTTTGAATTTCGGCTGAAAGAAGCGTTTTTTATACCAGGAGCTGGTGGGGAGAGGGTGGGAGGTGGGGGAGGGGGAGGCGGGGATTGGGGGGCAAAGTCACCTCCAGGCACGGGAATGCCCTGTGGGTGGGAGAGCTGATGTCCCAGGTCCCAGGGAGCTGGTTCCCATGTTGGCATCATAGCAGCGGGGCGTGGCCTGGGCTAGATGTGATCCAGTGTCTGAAGGGACTTTTCAGGGGTGCTCCTAGACACCCCCCCACCCCGTTCTGCCTGTTGTGGGGCGGCCGGGAGAGTCCCAGAGTGCCTTGTCTTCCAGGGCCCCGAGTTCAGGGAGTTTCTGCTCACCAAGCTCACCAACGCAGAGAACGCCTGCTGCAAGTCGGACAAGTTCGCGAAGCTGGAGGTGAGGACGAGGTTTCCGGGGTCTTCCCTCTGCCCTCCTGGTCGTCAGCCGGACTCGGCCGGGGTCTGTTCCTGGGGGCTGTTCGAGGGGTGAGAGCGTCGTTTTTGCCCCTCGAAGTCATCAGTCCTGTGCAGATACAGCAACTCTTCTTGTGGAAACGAAGTCCAAGTCTCAGGTCTAGTCAGCCACTCGCCAGTCGTTTCTTGAGCACCTACTGTGTGCTAGGCTCTGTTCTGTTTCCTGGGACACGGGCCTAACTGGGACTCAGTTTCTGCCCATATCTAGTTCCCAGGCTGGTGGTGGGAGCGGCCATTATGGAGGTGTGACACAGTTTGCCAGCACTGAGCCCTGCTGGAGGCCAGCCTGGGGGCTGTGACTTAGGATAGTGACTGCCTCTGCCTGTGGAGGGTCTAGGGGGTATTCAGGGAAGGCTTCCTGGAGGAGGTAGCCCTTCAGCTGCTGACTCTGGGTACCTGATGAGCCGTTTGCCAGGAGGGAAGAGTGGGGAGGGCTATTCCAGGCATGGGAACAGCATGAGCAAAGAAGCATCAGGGCAGAATCAGAGCATGATTGGGTGAGGGGGTTCCTGAGGGGAAGGACTCATGTGGGGGAATGGGATGGTGGGGACTCAGCTGGAGACTTAATTGGGTCATTTCAGAAAGGGATTTGAGCTAGAGGGGATGGGCCCTATTGAAGGAGTTGGGCAGGAGAGTGATGTTTGTTTTGCATATTAGATGATTATTCTGACAGAGGTGGGGAGGGTGGATTGAAAGGGAGGAGGGCGGGAAGGGCGGCCAATTAGAAGCTATGACAGGAGCTCAAGAGAGACAATGGCAGAGGAGGGAAGGATTGGGGAAGACCCGATGGACTGCTGTATTCAGGGTGGGGAGAGGTGGATTGGTGGGGTGGCTCCTAGGCCTGCAGCCTGGCTCGTTGCTGATCTGGAGGTGCCTGCACAGGCTGGGTTCCTGAAAGGGCCAGTCCCGGTCTGGACACATGGCGCCCC